AGCACGCACAGGCGGCGGCGGCGGCGGCTCCAGCAACGCTCGGCGGCGGCCCAACAGCGGCACCCGGAGGCGCCGACACGACACTGCAGCCGCCTCACGGCCGCGCTCGGCGGGGACCAACTTGGGGCCGGGCTGGGGCTGCGCCGGCGCTGGGGTCTCTGTTCTGTTATTGTCAGCAAGCGCAGAAGCTCGTGCTTAATGCTTAGCAGGAATTCTGATGATTAGAGGAAGAACTGTTGTCTCATACCCATACTGAAAAATTTGTAGCTACAATAAATTTTTTAAATAGTATGACTCTATACTAAGGACTTTTACATCTACTGGCCTTATCTGACACAAAAACTAACTAGGAAATATATGTGCTACAGCAATAAAGAGATTTCTTCCTTCACAGTCAGAGCACAGAAAAATCAAACCTAAAAAGAAAGTTGCTCAGATGCTTTATAGATTATATGTGTTGTTCATATCTGAGATAAGGTTGTGAGAAATGGCAATCAGGAAGTTAAATTGTCCAGAGCCACTTGTGGAAGTTCATTTCCGTTGTGTGTAAGGCTACCCAATATGGGTAAGACTCATTGTCAAGTCGTAAGAAAGAGAGACAGTCAGAAGGAAAATCTCGAAGATCCAGTCACAGCTCTTTTCCAGAGCCACTCAGTTCATGCCAAACCTGCCAATCTTTTCACCCTTTGCTGATATTTCATCTTCCTCCCCACACATGTCTCTGAAGCCCATGCAAAAGAGTTCACATTGCTCCAAAGTGCTCAGGTCTGATAATGATTTAGAGCAACAATTAACACTGATGGGGAAATGTGAAGCTCTCGGGTAGTGGACCTGCTCTCAGACCCAAGTCACTGGACTCCCTGGCAGAGGAAAAGAAATCAGAGCAGTGCAGGCTCTGCACTGTGCACATTCTGACACCCACTACTCTTCAATGGGGAGAAACTCTCAGTGCTCTTGGTGGACACTCCAAACCCCAAGGGCTGCCATAAGAATTGTTTGGACATTTCTACCACTTGGAGTTTGGGAGCTTCCAGGTAAAAGTCCTATCAGCTGGTCAGCACATCTAACAACAGCATGACCAGCTGAAAGCTGTACAGGGATTTTTGATGATTCCTACATAAATGCAAAACCTCCTGCTGACCTCATTGGAACAGGTATATCAGGTCTTTGATTTTCAGTTGCTTTGACACAACTCTGCCTTCAAAAGTCATGCCCAGAGCACCTGGAAAGCCACTGAGGCCTTGAGAGATAAGGTAGGCAAACTGCACTGATTTCTAAGGGTGACTAGGTCTCCCTTAACTGGACTAGGTGACTTTACAAAGCTTAAGATTTTGCTTTCCTCAGAACAACAATGATCTCTGGCACTTAATAAACCAAAGAAGCCAAACCAAATACCTCCCACTGTCCCACATGGGGCTGATCTTTCATTACTGTGATAAATCCAGGTCTGCACAGTGTAGGAAATCACACACAGGAGCATGTAGTCCTGTAGTGCCCAAAAAGATAATGACAATTCTGAGGTTGGTGGGATTGGCCAGCAGTACTGTACAA